ATTCCATCTCAATTGTTCTCCAAAGATGCTATGTCTGTTCTATTCACAGTATATTGTGTATATTAGCACCTCATGTACGTACCTAAAGTGGTGAAGAGTATCATATATTCGGACCCGACTGACTTTTGAACTTTCCTTCATTTTTTTTTCTCCCCAGTTGTAGCAAAATGCTTTCCTTTCATTAGTCTGACCAAAACCTTCAGATTCAATCGAACTTGACGTGTTTTTTTCTCTCTCTTCTCGATGTTTCCATTGGGATGGTTAAGATTTGTTTTCAATGTCACAGCCATAAACACTTTACTTCCCGCCAGTTATGACCGTTTGAGGTTATCAATGTTTTCGGTTCGGTTTTTAACGTGCTCGAACGACAACGAACATCGTCATTAACATCTTCTCGACCTTTCTTAAGAATTGAAATTCTGTTCATCTTGTGGCAAACTCGCCAAACGTTATAGTTAATATTACAATTTTCCATGGCAATTTAATTGTATTTTTTTACACACAACTTAGTACGGCTTCAGATATCCATTTAAATTCGTTACTCAAGAAATTTGAAAGTAATTATGGTTCAGACCTCGTATGTGCTCAGAGTTTGATCTGTTCATTGTTCAGTGTAAATATAATTTCTATTTTTCAGGATATATAGAAAAAAATATGTGTTTCATGCACCGCTTTCCGGGCAGATTTTATTCGGTATCATCCAAACTTAAATTCTCACAATTTAGTCAGCTTAACACTTCCTATCGGAATAACATTTACTGACATTTTACCATACCATGTTTTTGGGAACCGATTTCAGTTCATTTCGTCCAGATTTTGTATATACTTTAAAAATTCTTCCATTCAAATAAAAAATTGTTAACAGACTTATAAAGGTAAAGGTTTTAGACTTATTTTATTACCAATTATAGTTTCTATATAACTCAGTTTAAGATTTTGTTAATATCTTCTAATATTTACATTTAAAAATAAAATTTAATATTTACATTATTATAAGATTTTATTTGATTATCAATATATATATATATATATATATGTGCGTATATTCACACAATCAACACTTATGAAATTAGGCCACGTTTTAATTATCTTCACTTCAACAGATTTTTTTTTTGTTGAACAATTTCAATAATGTCGATTGGGCAATTGCTTGATATTTGCCGAACACAAATACAAACAAAACCTTCCCACACACACATGATAATATATTTATTCGCAGTAATAATCATCGTAATATCATCTTCGGAATAATTAGTAATTTTTCATGTTTGCTGTGTAAAGTCTACTTGAAAGTAATTAATAGAAAAATGTCGACATACAAAACTTATAAATATTTGTGCTTGGAACTTTGGTACTTATTCCTCGGTATAATACTAACTAATAATTAGTAGAGATAATTTGTATTTAAACTACTAGAGAGACAAGAAAAGAAATAATGCTATGATATATGACTTGTATGATATATGTATTTCATCTACTACCAAAAGCAGATTTTCTGAATTTTATATTTTGTACCTTTCGTTCAAGGTCTATATATTAAAGAAATAAGTGGGAACTACTCATAACCGAGCAATTTCTTCTTTGGATTGCGATATTTGATTTGATAATAGAAACCACATCTCCAATATCATTTGAAGTTTTTTTTCTTAAACTGAAGGTTTTAAATATTTTCCCACCGGCTTCTTCACCATATCTAAAATGTAATCTATTAGCTTACTTTAATCTGAATCTCTATTTCATGTATCTTTTATTTATAAATTTTATTAAAAACTAGCTTTCTAATATATCTCAAACACAAATATTTAATTAAATCAATTTATATATGAACATACAATTCCTTTTAGGCATTTGTTTCTCCACACAAAGTACACAAAAAAATATTTCATTTATTAACAAAATAAAAATAATTGTTGTTGTTCCTCTTTAAAATCAAAACGAATTTTCTATTGCAGCCTTAAGACTAATGTGAAAAATTTGTTACAGTCATGGAAACTGAAAGACAGGAGCAACACAGAAAACAAAACAAAAAACCCAAATTCTCTCTCAAGAGCAATATATCAAAAAGATTTCAAACATGTTTTTATTTCCTTTAAATTTTTTCAAAAAAATAACATAACCTCTTAGTTAAGATTGTTGTTGTTCTTGTTGTTGGTTTTGAAAAATAATAACAACAAAATATCCTCAAAAACAAGTTTTGTAAGTAATTGCTTTTCAAGAACATTCTTTGAGAAACTGAAGTACAAAAAAAGTATAAACATACCCCTTGATTCGGTATAGAAAGTCCAGCAACAAAATATAAATGAATTTTTCAAGTTGCTGCTGTTGTTGTTGCTGTTACTCCCTCAACAATACTTATAAATCATTTGTCTATTTTTGTTGAAAACAAAAAAATAATGAATGGATTTGTATGGTATCTGGTATCGCATCATGTCCAAATCTATCCAAAATGCAAGAGTGTTGTTGTGGCTATTGCAACCACCACTACCACTGCAACTGCTGCTTATGGTTTGCTAGCTACACTGCACTTGATGATTGATTGCCAAGCATGTGATGATCTTCCATTGCAAAACACTCTTTAGTGTCAGGACTAACGTGTAATGTACATCCATAAAAAGAAGACCAACCTTGTTTTCATTTGGGCGATTGCTGCTGCTGCTTCCTTTCACACAAAACCGTTGAAATATGTATTCGTGTGTGTGTGTGTGTGTGTGGGAAACATTTAATTTCAACCACACTGATGTAATAGCTGTAGTGTTTCCAAGGAGTAAAATAATATAAAATAAATAGTTTCTTATAAATTTTTAAAATTATTTCATAATATCTAGTGACACAAAACACTGTGCCAACTTAATCCATCTTGAAAACTATGTTTTTTTTTTCCTAAGAACTACCTATGTTTTTCAACAAGCAGGTATATTCTCTTTGACCACATAAGTACTTTATCTATTCATTTTTAAATTAATACCGATTTTTTGGAGAATAAAAATAGCTTTTATAAAAATAGCTTTATTTTTTTAATTTCGATATATAATCAGTAAGTAAAGTAGTAAAGTCGGACGGGGCCGACTATATTATACCCTTTACCACTATGTGTATATTAAACCGCTGCATCCTAATAGACGTCGATCAATCCTTAAAAATATCATTCGTTTGTAGGACAAAATTATGTAAATCGATTTAAAGCAAATATCAGTTGAAATCCCGTTGAATATTTGAAGCCCAATTAACACGAAGTCGGTCGGAAATATATATGGGATATGACTGTACTTCTACAAAAACCAATTAGGTCATGATCAAATTTTTACGTTGTGGAAAATTGCATGTCAATCTGACAAACATGAGAAGTTTGGTGTACCATTTACTTAAAATCGGACGGAAATATAAGTGGGAGATATGAACCGAGTTTAACAAAACTATATATTAGGTTATATTAATTTTAGTACGTTTTGTTCTTATCGTCCATATTTGGATGCTTGGTGCACCATTCACCTAAAATTGCATGAAAATATATGGAAGATACATCTAAATCTGCACCATTTTCACCAAAACCTGACACACGTTAAACTATACTAGATTCTGTACGACGAACAAAATCTTATGCCAATCGGTCCAACTTAGCGTTTATGGTGTGCCATTTAACTAAAATCGGACGAAAATATATATGGGACCTACATGTAAATCTAAACCGATTTCTCAAAAACTTGTGCCAATCGGTTAATTTTATATCTTTGGTGCATTATTTACCAAAAATCTGACGAATATATATTTGGGAACTATATCTAAATCGATCGACTGTCCTAACTTCACTACGTAGTGCAAAGTATCGTGTCAAAACGCCTAACTTTGACTCTTTTGTGCACCATTTGCTCAAAATCGGACGATAATGTGTATGGGTATGGCCCACGTTAAGCTATACTAACTTCAGTACGATATGAACAATTTCGTGCCAATCGGCGTAAATTTGATTCTTTGGTGTACCATTTACTAAAAATCGAACGAAAATATATATAGGAGATATATCTAAATCTTAACCGATTTTCATGAAACTTAAAACACATCATTCAAAACCCATAGCAGTACGCTATGCCAAATTTCGTCCAAATAAAATCAAAATAAAATTTGACAACAATATATATGGAGCTGTATCTAGATCTGAACCGATTTCAATAAAATTGCAAAATTTCGTCTCCAATAGGCGCTTTCCATAACCCAAATCTTTGGCGTTATTTGGAGGGGTGTATGGGTCTGACATTGTTCCTATCCTCGTCTGACTTGTATTGCTTTCCTTATCATACATTTATATTTATTTTACACATTATTATTTATGGATCTCATTAACTATGCATTGTGCCATTCTGTGAAAAAAAATAATAAAATATTACAAAATGTTTCTCCAAAAAATTTAATTTTGTGTTGATTTTTTTTAATATTATGCTTTTGAAGCATTTTGCATAGCAATTATATTATTAAAAATGTATTTGATATATTGCCGATATATTTAGCTCACGAAGCTTCCAATATAGTCCAGAATATATTCATATTATTTTCTGTCTTTCAAATTTATTGAAAACGAATTCAAAAACAATAAGAAATTATAACCATACAAAAAATATTTTTTTCCAACAAAAATTACTGTCATCGACCGGAAAATGCATTTAAATTTATAAAAATTGTACAACAAAGTTATAATTAAAATTTTTCCTTTTTTGTCCTTCTACGTATTTTCTATATTTCATTTTATGCTTCAGGCTATAAAAAGATGATTGTATATTATAATTTTAATTTTCTTAAAACAAACATTTACATTGTCCCCTGGTTTTATAGAAGAACAAAAAACACAAAAAATAATAAATAAATAAAAAAGTATATGGAAATTTTTATGAGAAAAAACAAAAAAATATTTTTCCCCACCACACCACAAATCCCTTAAGAACTTTAACTCTTTCTGCTGGCAATGCAAGTTAATTTTTTATGTCTTCATTTCTTTTCTTTCATTGTAGATGTGGCGAATTTGGAATATGAAAAAATCATAGCAGAGGCTGGCAAAAATGTAACCATACCCTGTCCGGGTGTTACCGAACATTCTCTGGTGGATACATTGGTATGGAAAACAACCACAACGACGATAGCTCAGTTTGCCAATCGTATACCCCTGCTGCACAGTCCCCGGGTAAGTAAACGACAATTTATGTTTGTGTGCGTATATGTGTCCGTTGCTTAGGTTCATGGGAAGAAATGCTGCTCGCACTCCATAAATTTGTAACATTGTATGCGTATGGTTCATTTTTTGTGTGTAAAATATCTGTCTGGCTGGTTGACCTCTTCCAATAATATTTATCTGCATTTGAGACTGTGTATAAAAATTCGTCATTTTTTTGCAATGCATTTTTATGGGATTTTTTCTAATTTATTTGAAAACAAAAAAAGGAAATCTCCCACATGGTTAGTAAGGCCAACAAGTTTTTATTTTACTTCATTGGATAAGTTAAAGTATCCATTGTCTTCGAATCAATTGTTTTCTTTTTTCTCTATCTCTCTCCCTGGTGAAAAGAACCCTTAATATGGCATAGATTTTGGGTATCCAGTTGAAATAACTTCAGAATAATGACAGAGATTGGATGAGGCTAAATGCAGAGATTTCGGTTTTGTTTGCCTGGTTATTTTTCATTCTTTATGAAATTACAATTTATTTTCGATATGTCTATTGCAATTTGAGGTATCAAAAGTATACACTAGAGTAGGTTTTATGAAAATACTAGAAATTCCATAGGGCGTATGATTTACATATAACACTTATACGTCGTAGAAATATTGAATTTTTCGTTTTTGTGGTTGTAGGTTATGTATGTATGTATGTATGTAAGTGAGTAGGTTGAGTTTGCGGTTAAAAATAAATATTTATTTATATATATTTTTTATTATTATTTACAGAATTCAAATAGAAATATGTAATATTTTTGTTTATTTTTATTATGATTTCTTAATGAAATCTATAACTTCACAATGTATTTGATGAAATAATAGTTGTTGTTTCACTCTTAGAAATTTTACATATTCTTTAATGGCAACTCCTTGCCATTACGGAATGTCGGTTTTAACAGGTGGTTGATCGAATGTCAGTTTCAACAACATAGTAGATATTGTATTAAATAAAAATATTGCTTGTGGGATTTAGCTATCATACATGTAATATTGTTGTCGAAAATTTGACTTTAATTTAATCAAACAAATAACGTTTATATGTATTCATTTTAAATAGAAAGTATACAAATTATATTTTAGATTTAGATGTCAGGAAATTTTTTCTGTGAATAACAATATGATTTTTTTAAATAGTGCCTGCAGTAGTTACCTGCAGCCTATTACACATGTAGTACACACATAACAAGGCTTATATATATTCGATTTTGGTTAAAATTATAAATAAAATTAATATTACCAATTTTTTAAAATTTTCAAAATATCGACTTTTTTGTTTGCCTAGAACATTAACGATTTTTGGTACATACATAGGGAAAAGTATCCTGACCCCGAATACTTTCGCAATTAAAATTGTCGTTGTTAGGCGTAAAAAAAAGCGTTCATATATGACTTCCTTTTTAAACATGAACATTAATATTATAATAATCCCGAAAAAGTTGTACATTTTCGCGAAATATGAGAAAAGTAATACAATTATAGGAGATTACATCATTATTTTAATTATATTAAAGACATATATCCAGCTAAAAATTAATTGAAAACTATCTACAAACCACACTGAGTCAAATAATATCAAAATCACATTAATCTGTATAACGGATACATCAATAACAAAACATGATATTGAGGAAAATTATTTGGTTTTTAGTTCGAAGAATAATGTCATCATATTTACTTTTTAGTTTCCGCAAAAGGTCAAAATTCGTATCCGGTTATTGAAATGGAAATGATACACAGAAAATTATTTTAGGTTCTCAACCCTTATCCATCAGGAGGGGACAAACCTGATACACCCCCCCTTCCTTGTTGATGGTGTATCGTGTTTCTTTTTGTACTGGGCCAACAATTTTTTTTGATATAATTCGAATCTACACTAATTAATGAATGTCCCCACAAAATTTCAAGTGAAAATATCAAGAACTCTTGAAGATATAGCCGAATTATTGTGTCAGCATCAAGTGACGGCTAAAGGGCTTCTCAAACTTTAATCGCGTTTTTCTCTTTTGCGAATGGCGGGCACGATAACTCAAAAACTAATAACCCAATCGATTCCAAATTTTTACACGTTTCTCTGTGAGTGTACAGCTATCGTATGAACTATGATAAAGCCAATCGGTGAAGATCTTCCTTATTTTTTAACTTGGTTTTTGGTAAAAAATCGGCGATTTTCCAAAAATATTTTTTCAAAGGTCCGCCATTTTGTTAATTTTAGAGCGAAGTCAATAATCCTAGTTCATAAGAGAGACTGACATGTGCTTTTTCTAACAACGTTGGAATTTTCGGATTCCTATGTTCCAGTGAGGAGTTATCATGCCCGCCATCAAAAATAAGGACTTTTCTTTAATTACAAAAAACAATAACAAACATTTTTTGTAAATTATATTTCTTCTCTTTTAAATTTTCAAATATATATGTGCAAAGTTACAAACCTTAACAAGCATTGGTACTGATTTAACAGCCCATTGAAAATCTTGAAAAATTAAAATCGAAAATGGGTGGGGTTCCGATATTTTCAAAAACATTTTGTCTATGTTTTTTTTTTTTTTTTTTTTTTTTTTGCCAGGCCAGTTTTCATCGGAACTTTAGAAAAAGCTTACTGATCGCGGGTACCCATATAAATGAAATGACAGATATAGTTTTTTTTTTTTTTAATTCGATTACATAATTTTTTAACTTTGTATGCAGATTACTGTGAAGCTGTGTATATTACCCACCTAAAATATATAACAAATTACTAATATTCGCGAGTACGTATCCCGTAACTTTTCCTATTTTGGGCATCCGCCCCATTTTCTAAAATGATTTTCGAAATTTCGTATACTCAGAGAATAAAAATCTGCAGTCATACAATTTACATTATGGGTAGGTACATCTTTCGACGTAGTCCCAATATAAGGATCACGCTCAATTTTGACATTTGGACTATGGTGTTGGAGGTTATACAACTTCATCCATATCGAATTTAAAGAAAGTTGCCTTGCTGTGCATCTAATGAAAATAAATTTCTATTGAATGACACGCTAAAATTAGGTTAGGTATTTTTTTAAGAATTTTCAAGGCAACATCATATGATAAAATATATATGTCAAACTAATTAGAATCACTAGTACAACAATCCTATAACCAATTTTTGTTACATCATTTACATGAAATCGGCCGAAAATATATATGGGACGATTTTCAACAATTAAACAGTAAAATACGTTTCCTCGTATACGGTAAAATAATGAAATATGTATGCTATGTCCGATTATTGCAAAGCCATAAAACATAGCAATCTGGCTAGCTAGTTTTTGCAAATTACACTAAATAAGTCATTATTTATTACAATAAATCTGTCGCACAATTGACAACAGCTAGCAAAAAGCAAATAGAATTTAATAACTTTCATTGTGGGTAATGCAGTTTTTTCTCATACACCAGTAATAAGTCAATTGTATTTACAGATCGTTTTTCCCATTTTCAATTGTATTTTTTTGAATTGTTTCAATGAACAAAGAAAAAAAATATGTGTCATATATAAAAAAAAAATTATCACAAGAAAAAATGCATTGTGCCTAAAAAACAGAGTAAAGCCAAATTAATACCGATATAATTCAATATACATTTCCTTGACATAATTTTGTTGTTGTTTTTTGTAACTAAAGAAAAGTTTTCGATGGTGAACATGATTTCCGACTACTGGAGCATCTGAATAAAAATCGTTGCTTTCCTTTCTTATCACCCTGTTGCAAATGTTCTTAGGCGTTTGTGCGTAAAACGGAATTTTACATTATTATTAATAATAAATTAATGCAATTTTTTTTATTTCAGAAATTGTTTAACAAATATTTAATATATACACATATTAATAAACGATTTATAGCATTACATATAAAAACACACACTCTCACACGCACATACAATGCTGCTGTTATTCATTCATTCCATCATTCATTGGCATTCATTCATTGTTCACAAATGAGAAATTGTTGGTGTTTTTTTTTTTAACGAACTCGTTTGTGGGAGTTTGGGAGATAGTTATGTTAGTGTAAGTAAATTACTATGGGAGTTTGTGTGCGTGCGTGTGTGTGAGAAAATGCATTGAAAAACCAACATACATAAATAGTTCAAAATATGCAATCAACAATGCTGCATATTACAACATTCGACCATGCATGACATTCTGGAATTTTTAGCCAACAATTTGTTGTTGTTGTTTTTTTTATATTTCGCAGTATACGCCGAGTAATGTTGATTGCATCAATTTTATGATATTACATAATGTGATAATATTGAAAACGAATATAAATTCTGAATTAATAACATTTAAAAATAATAATAATATTGAAATATTTTGAATTCTCAGAGCCGTCGTTTCAATGAAATATTAAATAACTGAAATTAACAGCCACGAAGCCGTGTCGAACGTTCGTTAACCGCATTAAAGTAATTGCACTGTTGTGAATGTAATTTCATATGCATATATGTTATCTTATCATCAAATATTTAAAATCGAAGACAGCAACAGAAATATAGCAGCTGTGAATCAAATCCCATTAAAGGCTGGAATTCTGAAAATGGAATATTCAAATTTGTAATACCCTTTTCAACGTCTCTAAATATTTGTCGGAAATTATATATGTTCGTGATCGCAATCAAATTGTATTTCGAAATGCCTTGTCTGTTGGTTCAAAACACCAGGCTCGCAATATTTAAGATAATACCTTGAAGTCGGTACTCTCTTTTTTTATAGTCTTTAAGAAAGTGAGGTACTTTATTATATCGAATCACCTCTAACTTGGTATATTGGTTATATATCTATCTGCAAAAATTATTAATATTATATATATTCCCCTATATAAAGGTACCCGGAATTTCGCGTACATTGAAGATTGCAGACACATTCCTCAACCGAATAGGGAAATTGTATTGGGTGTCAAACCTTGTTGGTTTTTTTTTTTTTTTTTTTGGTTTTCAGTTTTTGGA